AGTTTCGGCGTTAATTGATTCAGATCGTCGACATTGCTTTCACAAAGGGGAATTACTTCAAACTGAAACATACCGGAAGGTATAACAGTGTTAGGTAACGTTGTGCGTCTCACTATGCTGCCGTTGTTGGCTGTTTCCGGCAGCACCTGGGAAAAGGGCGGTTGCGCGAACGGTGTGGCCGGCGGCGGCGGTTCCCTCAGCATTCGTATCTTCTGTATCATTTCCCGTATCTCGTAGCGTAGGATGCCGAGGAAGCAGAGCTTGGCGAAGGCGATGACGCAGAAGCCGAGGACAAACAGTAGGTCCGCCGTCTTCCTGAGCCAGCGTACAAGCGTGTCCTCGCAGCCGCGCATGTACGGGTTCTGACAGGCCTCGCTGACGTTAACACTGGGCTCGCAGCAGGTTAGTGGCAAGTTGTCACGGTGATTGAAATCCTTGGGTCCGGTCACCCCGCAGCACATGAACTCCCGCTGAAGTCGGTCCCATTGTTCGCTGAATCGTATCTCCTTATCATAATCCATCTGCGGGCAAGAAATTGTCGATCACCTCGAGACGTAGTACGGTTTACGTTGACTATAGAACAGCAGTTCCTGTCTGATAGTTCTTTCTTTTCCAGGTAATTTAGATTTACACGTGAAGCTTTAGATTTTTCATAAATAATCATAATTAATTGCAAGTAGTTTTACTTTTATAGTGACAACTCTGCCTAAAAATCCAGATTTATCTTGAACCGCGATTGGATTAAACCTAGGACCCGCAGTCCTAGTATTAATCTATCGGAAACGGAAATCCGAGGCTTCAACATTGGGATTCTGTAACTTTTAGCATATTACATATTATATATGGTAAAAAATATTTACAACAGTAACATAACGATACTGTCGTTAAGAGTTATAGAATCCCAGAGATCTCGATCAGAGAAGTGAAAAATCGTATAAATTCTTTTTCACGCTGTATATCGATACAAATTGATTTCTACGTCATCACTAAGATGAAAACTCCCTACTTGTAAATGACAAATTAATCTATAGATAGCTATTCCCTAGTCGACGAATTGACGAGTTTTTTGGTACATCTCAGAAATCTATGTAATACGAGCTTTAACGTGCAAGAAATTAATCTATTTCGATACACAGTACGAGAGAAAAAGCTTATATGTTTTTCCGCTTTCGACGTAATGGCCAGCAAACAGGCTTGTATTCCGATTCTATATTCTTAATGACATCAGTATCGGTATATTATCATCGCGCAGATACACAGTAAAAAAGCTGCGCTAATGCCGTCAACAACTGTATAACAATACTGAACTTAAAAGAATCGGGGTACAAAAACCCTCGAACTAAAAGGAAGAACTAAATCGATGGCGCACCTGCAAACGTAGTTTGAGCATGGGTCTGAGGTCGGCGCGCATTTTCTCGAAACGGAAGATCCAGGCGACCCCGACGACGGCGTCGCCGAACAGCAGTATCAGCAATAATATCCAATAAACATGAAGCAACCGGGCGCTGAGCCGTCTGGCGGCGATGCAACCGAGTAATTGCACCAGGCCCAACTGCGCCGTCAGTGCCAGATAGCCGTAGAGCGCGGTGGGATCGTAGACGCGAGGTACACCCGGCACCACGTGCCGACGTGGGTCGCCGGTGAACAGGAGAGTCTGCGACACCGCGGCGGCAAAGCCGATCGCGCTACCGAACAGCACCAGGTTACAGGCGTAGATCCAGAGGCGGTAATATCGCATCGCGACGTCCTCACCACCGTCGGCGAGTCGTTGGGACGTCACCGACGACGGCGCCTCGTCGGCGACGTGATCGCGGCTGTTACTCCTCCGATCGCCTCTTTTGAAGACGTTATTGTTGTCGACGTTATTGTTGTTGTTGTTATTATTATTATTATTATTATTATTATTGTTATTATTGTTGTTATTATTGTTGTTTGTAGTAGTCGTGGTGTTGGTATCGGTCGAATGCCGATGCTCCTCACGGTCGTCCAGCAGAAAGAGAAAGGGCGGCTTCGCGCTGCAGTCCTTCGTCGCTGTCTTTTGTCTGTGCGTCGACTGCGGGGTGACTGAACGTTGCAGCAGCATCACCGTCATACTATCGTGCCACCCTGTGCGTGTCCTCGTCGTAAGGATTGTATCCCGCGGACGCGGGGGGTTGAATAGAAGAGACGGGCCAGCGCGTTGCACCGTTGGTGGTGGTGGCCGTCGCCGCCGCGGTATTACGCGAGGAGGGTGATGGCTAGAGGTGGAGACCGATTCTCTTTACTCGTGACCAGTGCGAGTCACGCGAGCCACGTTGTGCTGCATCGCCGCACCGGAAGGTCATTCGTGCTAACATTCATGGTTGTCCCTCTCGTGTCACGCGCACCTGTCGTCGTTCACCGCAATGGCGGTCTTCGATGTTCCAGCAACCGGAACGATTAATGTCAGGATTCTCCTGTGCAAGAAAACAGAAGTATATAAAAAATATTTGAGAGACATATTCCTAACAGACACACGTCCTTATATCTATCTTGCGGTAGTCGAATTTTTTTTGAAAATTTTTAGGATCCAAAGCTTTTTAAAAGATTTGATCTTCGATCTTGGATCTTCTTTCGCTTGTTCACCATACCGCGCAATTTTTGAAATTCTCTCTCTCTCTCTTTATTTTTCACACACACACACTTTCACATCCACTCCGTGGATGACTTGATCTAAAAGGGGACTTGCGAAAGGAGAGAGGAAGGCGCGGGAATTCAACGGAATTCAATGTGCGTGCGTTTCCAAGTTGAAACCAACGGCGGGAGGAGGCTAGCGTGCACCTCGGCGGATTGTATTTCTTTCTGACAGTTGTAGCGTGCGATAGGCGATTCTATTTATCGATCCTCCGCCGCTTAGCTCTATGTAGCTTCTCCGAGGAGGGACAAAGATAAATCGTGCGAGATAGAGAGAGGATATGCGCCTGAGTGAGTATATTGGCACGAAGCATCGCCGGCCCGGCGAGCCATCGGAAGAACCACAGAGACAACCCTATCTGACGAATTGCGAAGAGGCATATATACAATCGCGATCAGACAGAAAGAGGATGAAATACCAGAGGGATAGTTTAGAAAGTAGGAAGCAAAAGTGTAAAGAAAAACTCTCTAGATTCTTCGGAGTGGAATTTCACTCTAAAAAGTGGCAGAATTTTCACTCTTTTAAGAATGAGATTTTACTTTAGAGAATTAGAAAATTTTCAGTGACAGAATTTTCTAAAGTGATATTTTTCTTTTTTCAAAATTAGCAAAATTATCACTCTTTGAAAGGTGAAAGTTCACTTTTTAGAGTGAGATTCCATTTCAAAGAATGTCAAGAAAAATCGCCGTCGTAATACATGCGAAGTCTCGGTAAAGATTCTCTACATGCGGGATATACAAATTGTTCCGAGATTGTCCTCGTCCAGGGTCGCGAACACGGACATGCATCGGCTCGGCCAGGGCAATGCGCCAAAGTATGCTCTCGTTTTCGTGCATTGGCATTCACATTGCATACTGCATATATGCATGTGGACAAATCGCCACGAGTATATGCGAGTAATGCGAGTGGCGCATTGTAATGAAAACACGGAAGAGCGAGAGAACGGTAAGGGCCCATCGATCGTTTAAACCCTGCGCGTTAGCACGCGCTCCACATTGACACCGACTCGAGCGAGGAATACGTACGAGAAGAAAAGAGAGGGAGTGAAAGAGAAAGAAAGAGAGAGAGAAAGAGGCATCGATAGCGCGCGATTACCTCTCTTTTCGTCTTAACGGAGAAACAATTCCCAACGTCACGAAGACGAGCAGTCAATGTCCTGGCCGGCGTCCAGTACTGTCTGCTTTACATAATCCCGCGGAAGGAAAAAAAAGAGAGCGAAGGAGAAAGAGAAAGAGAGAAAGAGAGAAGAGGCGTGCGCGGATCGATGTCGCGTGCAATGTGCAATCCTTTTTCAACGCCGGATGCCGGAGCGAGGGACAAGAGACTAGAGTCTTACTGAGCGGGGACAGACGTGATAAAAAAAGATTATCGGTCAGCCTTTAATTAGATATTCGATATACGAGGTGAGACATATCGCTGAAGAGGAGGCGCGAAAAGTCAGAGAGAGAAAAAAGATGACGAGGAAATGCGCGCGCGCGCGCAAGAGAAGGGGAGGAAGAGGGTGGCAATGGATGTAGGGAGGGAACATGGTGTTATGCAATCTTCCTCCCGACCTTCCCGAAGGAATTTATCATTACTCGCTACGACGCTTCGTCCTATTTTCACCGCATGCAAAACAGGAAATGCCACACGCGAATTCTTTCTCACAAGCTCTACCAATCAGCAAGTCAATCGTATCAATTTGTCGATCGGAATGGCGTGGATCCAACGCGTGACACCCTCGGATGCTCGAGCACACTTTTCAAATTGCTATCGAATCTCGCCAAGATTTCTTTCGATACCATAGCGAACGCGACCTTTTCAATGAAGGTTCAAGGAGGAGGAGGAGGACACAATTACTATTTCGCAAAGGAATGACACTGTTCGCGTTGATCCGGCTTATTCGATCAATTAGATACCTCTGCGTAGAACTTCTCCGGAGGAAACGCACGCTCGATGTCAAGGAGCGTGCTTTCTCTTGCGAAGGAAGGTCTCGGTTCTTGAATTTCTTGTTTTTTAGAAAGAGACCTTTTCTTCAGGGGAAGATCCTCGAGGAAAGAAAGAGAGCTTTCCTCTTTCTGAGGAAAGCGATCCCATTCGATTAATCCTCTTCGTCTTCGATTACTTTGCACGAAAGTGAAACACTTAGAGAAGTAGAGAATTTTAAAGAAATCTTCCTCGACATTCGACGAGAAACGCCACGGGCGGCTCGTCACTTATAATCACTTCAAGGAGATCGCGCTTTCTACGACGCAAATTTCTTAACGCCGATTATCAGCCTATGTGCACGTGGATTGCGGAGGTGCGATCTTGTTCGCCGAGACCGCTGCGGAATCGCTGCGGTCGAGTGTCATCAGTCGGGCCGACAGTACGACGGTCGGGGTGTGCACGAGGAACGCGATCGTCGTCGTCTTCGTCGTCGTCGTGGTGTCCGTAGCGCTTCCTTCACAAGCATCGCCGTGAGAGTCCTCCTCGGCAACGTCGTCCACGGCGACGTCGTCGTTCATGCCAGTCGCCCACGTTTGCTCATTATGCGTCCTATACACCTCGTGCCGCCTCTCACCAGCACCTCGACATTATCACTTTTGTTCTCGGTTTTCTCGTTACCGGCGTTATTCCCGTTTTCGTTGTCCTGGTTCTCGTCGTCGTTGACGTTCTCGTTCTTGTCCTCGGCCTCGGCCTCGGCCTCGTCCCCGTCCTCCTGGTCACAATCGACACTTGACAAGGCCGCCAGCCGTAGCGCATGTCGCTCGCACGACGCTTCGTGGAGCGGCGCGACGCGACGCGACGCGCTGCCTCTCACTGCCACTGATCACGCAGAGTCGAAAGCTCGTGCGCGCGACCGAGCGTTCTCATCGTCGTCGTCGTCGTCGTCGTCGTCGTCATCGTCGTCATCGTCGTCATCGTCGTCGCGACGCCGCGGCCACGACGCCCGACGCTTCTCGCCCCGCGCGCTTGACGCATGAGATGGATGTTCCAAGCGGACACGCGCGGCTCTTTTTACCTATCTATCTCTTGTCTATCTTGCGGTTTTTCTCTCTTTTCCTCTATACCTTGTCGGTGCAAAGAACACGAGGCACCCGGAGGTACGTGAACCATGAGGGTGTTCACCACCATAAACAGCGCCCAAAATAGGCAACCAGATTGCACGAAGATTGAAGAGACTCTGCCACCACCGTCGCAAGGCAAACTGATAGATAGAGGGAAGACACGCGAAGGGAGTGTACAAGGGCGGACGATCAGAGGTGGACGAAATGGGTTCCGCTTCGATCCAGTTCCGCTAGCCGTCACAGAGAATAAATTTGTATTTCAATACCACTATTTTATGTCACAAAAGGATAGACAAGATCGGTCTTGTTTCACGAGTTTGAAACGGAGCACTGTCGTCGCAGGAAATAGGTCTGACCGATAAGGTCTCTTTCGTGGGGGGGTGCGCGCATCCTCAAGCACAGCGTTGATACGTAGAAATAGAGCTGAGGTGGAAGGAAGAGGTGGAGAGATAAAAATGTCCAACCATATGTTACCACCGGATGTAGTAGAAGTATGAAAGAGAGGGAGAGAGAAAGAGAGAGAAAGAATGTATAGAACTGAGATACGTAGGCACCGGTTATATTGTACACCAAGATATAGGAACGGAAAGAAGAGGAATGGAAAGAATAAACACTATATACTAACTTCAATATCACAGGGATAGGATTTTGCATACTTCCTCTAAGCACTCTCTCTCTCTCTCTCTCTCAGCTGTATCCTGGAGCGAATACTTCACGTTTAATTGAATTTTTACAAACTAAAAAATAGATGTACCCAAAGTAAACAAAGTAAACTCCTTTATAGTCCCAACTAGGCTTTCTCGAAAAGTGTAGATCCGTTCTTTCTATAATATGCTTTTTTCTTAAAACATTTTCTTCTTTACTAAAACTATAAAAGTTCTCTCTTAAGAGAATTTTTATGGTTTTACTCTTTGCATTTTTTTCCTTCCTCTTTGCCATATGGAAAATTTCACATGAAAAATCGATTAATCGTCTACAGAATTTATGTAGAATCCGAATAATCCTGAAGAGAGCAATTCATTTCCAGAATGATGGGAGAACGCATACCGGACGAAGTAGACGAAGCTGCGGCGGAGTTGGTCGAAACGTTGCTGATGCACTACTCAAGCTCGGTTTAAAAAATACGCGTTTAATATCTATCGTTGGCAACGACGAGCTTGGGAAGATCATTCTCGAGAGCTTGGGAATCGGAGGCGAGATAGTGAAACGTATGTCGGACGTGGACACCGCAAAGTACGAGTCGTAATCTTACTTCGTTGATGAGCATTCGGATAAAAACTTATCCGATAGTTCCATTGAATAATATATAAAATTATAAATATTTGAACAGTAATATAACAAAACCAAATTAGCCGAAATAATTACTATCCAATTATTATAAATTTATAAATGTTGATGTGCTTGGATAATAGATAGCTTCTTTTGATTATAACGATATTTTTGGTTATAAGGGAAAATAACACTTTTAGAAGAAGTTAAGGAAAGAAACGAGAACATTACTTTCTAATTGCCTAATTTACTGTACTTAAGAATGCAAATTAACAAACTCAGATTCCAATAAATTCATCTCTTTAGATATGCAGATTCGAATTATTCCGATATTCGAATTTAAGTAATAAGATAATTCGACAAACTGATTATCCAAATATCAGCAGATTCATTCATATTTGACAAATTATCGCTAATATTACAGGATGACGGTGATAGTGGACGTTAATGGCGAATGTCACTTTTACATTAGCGAAATGGAATGCTTCGCTTTGATTACTCCGAAGTTGATAAAAGAATATCAGCCGCATCTCGAAAAAGCAAGTTTCATTGTTCTCGACACAAGTTTCGAATTGGACGTCATGCGCTACGTGCTCGACATTGCGTCACAAACGAATATTCCAGGTGAGTGAAAACTTCTACAATAACTTATTGTCATTTCGTTCACAAAAAAGAATTTCTTCATTTATTAATTTCCTATACATTTATAAATCAAATAATATAATTCTATTATATTATATGTATTCTATATATAATGTATAAAATATATATATATATAAATGTGATAAAAAAAATGTGTGCACGTGAGATAACAACGGACGGATATTATTCACGCATAATTGAATTAGTTTAAAGTAAATCGAATGTAAATTAATTAGTTCGAGAAAAGGCGACAATCGTAATACACGTGTTTATCCTTTTTAAATTAAATACAAATGAAAAGTAGATTCTCGAAACAGATCGTCGTATATTACTTTGCTTATAATTTTCAATTCTGAAAATAAACCTCTTAAAACGGAGGTACAAGGGATGAGAGTCGGGATCAAACCGGGAACCTACCAATTGGTCGACTACTTCTCACATGGAACTATTTATTAAAAATAATGGTAAGAGCTTATACATAGATATATATGTATAAAGTTTTTACTATTATTTTTAATGAACAAATTAAATGGACGGATGAAAATCGTACACAGATGTACAGTCTCTCTTAAGAGACAGATCTTATCTTTTGCATCTTCATTAAAAATAACGATAAGAATTTATGTGGAAATTAAATTTTTCGCCAAAAGCACATGATTTGAGATTACTTTATACGTATCCGCTTCGGCTTGATGGGGCGTGTTGAGATTGTGGATTCGGCTGCATCTGCATCACTAAGTTACGAGACTCCTTGCGTAGTCTGTAACCTGTCCGCGCGTCTAAATAAAGAAAGAATGCGGCAAACGTGTGGATCATGAATGATATGACAGCAAGACCATATGACCATGACAAATGATTGAAATTCGGATACATTAACCAATCCCGACGCCAGCATTGTCCGCCGAATATAGAGACTGCCAGAAAGAGAAGCACGCCTAAAATTAAAAAATAATCAGATTAAAGAACATTATATCTTCTATTTTTAATTTTAAAAACTCTCACACTTACCAGCAGCTGCATCACATACAAACACAAAGGATGACAAAATCCATTCATAATGCAGGACAAATCTCAACGGCCAACGTGTCCAAATCAAAGCAATTACAATGAAGGCAAAGATGGACAGCATTAAGGCTAACGTGACAAATGTCTGCACTACCATGAGCCATACTGGCAGCAGCCACTCTCTTATGACATAATATTCTTGTGAAAATATATGGTGACAGCCGTCGAATTGTTTGTCAAACTGATAATAGGGATAACGGAATTGCTCAAAGCAGTACTCCCAGAGTCCCATGTGTTTAAAGCTGCTGAACGTCTCCTGATACGATTCTATCCAATACGGACTGGAAATTATGGAGAGGATTAGTAACATTGTTTTCATATGTTTCAAGTCAATTTGAGATTGTTAGTTACTTATAATAATTGCTTGATATATTTGTGGAAGATATGTTTACCTTATGAAAGCCATCATTAAGAGAAAGAGTGCCACGAACGAGAGTCCTCCACCAAAAACGACCGCGTCTATCAATGAAAACGAAGGACAATTAGTAGGTTATTTCAAATAATCGCTCTATTGATTGACTTAATCAATTACTTACTGGACGCTCTGTGATAATCTTGCTTGTCTACCGTCATGGTGACCTTTTAGAAAGGTCAACGTGAAACTAACTGATATCTGTATAAGTCGTTCGTTTACAATTGTTGTTGTCGTTCGTCACCGCACCTCACCCTCGCCACACCCAGTGAACCACCGCATCAACCCGCATCACCACTATAATATTAGGAAACAAGTGGTTTGTTTTCTGTAAGGTGTACCATTGCGCATAATGGCGACTGAATACTAGATCAGCCAATCAAATTTTATCCCCAAATGTTGCGCGAGATTCAAACGGCATACTAAGATCAGACTATTAATAGTGTAAAAAACTGTGTAATACATATACAGAGTCGGGAATTACCTTAGAAAAATAATATGCGTTACCATTACAGTTATTTTTGTTAAATAACTCGTTATCGTTACTCATTTTAAAAAGTAATGCATTACATAAAGCCAAATTATTAATTTCTTAAAATGTGAGTTTATTAACATTATATTTAACAAACTTTTTTTATGTTAATAAACTTATATTAATAATTAGGCTTTATTATTATAACCAGATTTATAGCACAGGACATTTTAAGATTCTTGCAATACGAATTTCAGTAATAGTTCATTATATTTTTTAGTTGAATTATTGCTGCTATACAATAAATAACATTACCAGCAAGTGAAAATAGATGAACAAAATTATTTTATAAATTTTTATGTATGCTCTATTTTCATGACTATCACTGTACGTTAATATGTATGTTATTCTATGTGTATAATATATGTATATATTATTCTATATTTTTCAATACAAAATTAAAAAGATATTTTGACACTCAAAGTTTTTACAAACATGCTTTTGATCGTTTCAAAAAA